AGATGCAGTCTTACACGTCTCTCTGTAGTTTTCTCCTCCTCTTGTCACACCAAAACCTTTACCCCATAAAACCTGTGTCTGCTTCCAGGCCACCTTACATAAAGACCTAAACAAAAGGAGTAAACCATAAAAAATTCACGAAGAAAAGCTGTAACACCTTTTCAGAACAATTAACTTACTAAACTACATGACAAAACTTTAGTTAATGAGTGATTAAATAGCTGATCAACGTGTTGCTTTATTTTGTCTTACAGAAACTTAGTTGCAGATGGAAGAATATATTCATGTAAATAAATCAGCACCCATGTGCTGTACTGACTGCCAGAACCCTCAAAGCACAGACTGAGGCATGATTTCATCTGTGCAATACTGCTAAAAGTAAAAACATCCTGTATCAGAGTGATGCTGGAAAACAGTGTCAGGCTGTTCTCAAAGCTCCCCAGAAGGGCTTCAGTTGATCCAAAATGCTGCAGTGAAAGTACTGACAGGGACTAGAAAGCAACACCATATTTCGCAGATATTACCTTCTCTTTACTTTTTCCCTGTTAAATCCAGATCTGATTTGAAAATCTTACCCCTCACAAAGTTTTGAATGATCAAGGGCTGTGTTAAAACGTGTATTACACTACCCTAAGAGGCTTATTCGCAGTTCTTAGAATCCAAAAGAAGAATGGGAGGCAGAGCCTTCACCTCTCAGAGCCCTTTTTCTGTGGACCCAGATCCCAGTTTGATTGCTAGAGACACACATTTCTATTTTCAAAGATTAGACTTAAAACTTTCCTTTTTGATAAAACTGGATTCGATGACTCTGACTCATTCTTCAGATTTGCCACTATAGACTCACACTGTAGGGGGCTTTCACAGTTAGAATCATAATTAATGGACAAAGACACAACAGTGGACTTTAACTCTATGAATACGTGATTGAAGTGCAGACTTTCTGTTTTAATTGAAATGATTTTTGTTTTTGTTTTGTTTGGGGTTTTTTTTTTTGGGGGGGGGGGGGGGGGGGGGGGGGGGGGGGGGGGGGTTGCCAAAGCGCAGACTGACTTTGATAGACTGAATAAGGGGCCACAAAGGATAGTTGGAGCCTATGCCAGATGCCATAGCTTAAGAGGTGGGGTTCCCTGGACAGGTTGCCAGACAGGCAACTATTCATACACCTAATTTAGAATCACCAGTTAACCTAAGTGCGTGACTTTTGGACTGTAAGACGAAGGTGGAGCGCACGTGGAGAATGTGCAAACTCCATGCAGAAAGGCCCTGGCCAGAGGGTGGATTCAAACACAGGACCTTTTTGCTGTAAGGAAACCACTCAACCACCCCACTGACAACCTTATATTTAAAATTACACAGAAAAGCGATAAAAGACAAATTCAATACTTTGCCCAACTTCAGATGTTTTACCTGTTTTGCTTGTCATGATATCCCGAGGAGACAGACCTCATCTGGTTATGAAACTGGTGATCAGTCAATGTATTAATTTTGAGCCTCTGAAAGTTGGTAACTATGTATAAAATGCTGTAACTCCTAAATGGTTCATGCAGGTTTTTTTGTACATCTTCAATTAAAGCTGAAAGTCGGCACTTTGATCGTACCATTTAAAATACACTGCTAACGCATCATGTCATGAACTTTCTCCCACAGTTTTTTGCTTCACGTTTTCTCTCCATGCTCTCCTTTATTGCTCATCTCCTTCTCCTCATTTGCCAAACTGGTTGCAGCACATGGCTGCCCTGGTTCTGTCAGAACTCACGTCCTGTTAAAAGGGAGTTCTTCTTTCCCCTAGTTGCTATGTGCTGGTCATAGGTGTTTTGGGGGCTTTTCTCTCTAACATTGTAGGATCTCTACCTTACAATATAAAGTGCCTTGAGATTACTGTTGTTCTGAAATGGTGC